TGCCACCGGTCAGTCAGAACTGAGACGCACTGTTTCCTTTCTTTCAGCCTCTCAAGCATCGCAATCACTTCGTCCTGTTCTTCCACCGACAATTCGCCTCCAGGGAGTGTACTCGCCAGTTCCTTCGCCTGTTTGAGAGTGTCTTTGAAATCGTTTGTCTGGGTAGAGTCCAGTCAGCATGGCGAGCTCAGGGACTTATCGCAAGAGACGCACCGCATGTACCAACGCTTGCTTTCCCTGCTGCGTAGGTGCACCCACTGCAGCCTGCTGCGTGGCCTCGAGGATTGCAACTAGCTTTGGCAGAAGACTCTCGTATACGTCGGACATTGCGTGCGTAAAGGTGTTTCAGTGTTTCTTGCGCGAGAGAAAATAGACTCAAGTTCCAATGTTCAACGGACCAGGTGGTAGAGTGCCAATGGCGACTGAGAGGACTAGTGTCACGGTGTGAACACACTACGATCGGAGGTGGAGATCAACCACCCGATCTATTTGAATGTGAATTTGATCGTACATACCACGGGGCTCAAAGAGACTCCCAACTTCACGTATTCTTGCCCCATGCAAGGCGGCCCTATACACCACACAAAACAGCGTATACTCAGAAGTCATCGATTAATGCTTGCAAGTATCTCAGGATAGTAACTCTGATGATGGTGATGGGTTGCTCCCCTGCCAGTTTCACGGCGACAGTACGCAAAGCCCTATGTACGACACGGAAAGCAATACGCTTGTACGGTTCAATGTTGCGTGGACGGTCTTGGACTGAGCCCTCCCGCACTCAAGAAAGTCGCTTTTGGAGTCTGCCTACGAGTTCGTTGCCGGTATGTCGATGTTGTGAGTCAAGGTAAAGTGGGTCTGATCGTTCCTTCATATATATCAAGAACCTTGGTCCAAGGACCATATGTTAGATATTCATAATTGACGCTAGTGCGAGCCTCTATGGACAAGGTTATTAGTATTTGTAAAACACAGGACACAGACGGCGCAAGGACGTACCAAGGCAGTGTCATATGTAAATCATCTCTACTTCTTCCGAAACAAAGACCGACCGGTGGTTCATCACCGGTTTCCATCCATGGGGTAGGCTCAGCTCAGCTTCCCTGACCTTGAGAAAGAGCCTATACATCATCCTCGTCTCGAAGGCCCAGCTAATTCTGCATGCGGTGTCAGTGCTTCATGAGCATCAATTGATTCAGAAGTGAATTCATACACAGGCAGGAGAAACGTTTCTGAAGCCTATATAGCACTAATCAGCTAGCAAATTCTGTGGATATCTCGTGACGCTACTTACATTACCGACAATGCTCACAGATAGTTTACTAATGCGCAGGACTAAAGACGAATAGGCGTCACTGGGTTGCGCGAAAGCAGAAGCCTGCTACGTACAGAAGATTGCCTGTAGCACAGAAAATTAACGTCCGCGCGACTGTTGGATGAGGCATGAGCCACAAACCATAAGGACCATCAGACCGTCACGCCGGAGATTGTCTAAAATCTCGATATTTCGCTTGCGCGGCTGGTTTAGCGCATTCAACACTATCAGGGCGAACACATATATGTCGTATGCTATCTGGCCCCAAATCGTGAGCGATCCTATTAAACCTTTCTGACAAAATGGAGAGTTGACTTTACCATTGCCCCCCAGACTCCTGGCATGTACTTCGGTCTTTCGGGGAGCGTACAAGACTTGAGCTGTTCATCGTACCGCATTCTGCCTGTGACAAATCAGAAAGACGATACGGCACACTGAACAGTGGCCTTACCTGCCAGGTCAAGCATGGTGACAAGAGCAAATGCGATGGAGACCCCATAGCACACCACGAAGCCGAAGAGCAAGGCATATTTTACTTCCTTGCGGTTGTCCCAGATTGTATGTACGCGCAAGAAAAGTACGACTGGAGCATAAGCGACGATTGTCATCTTATGTGTGTATGGAGGCAAGGCATCGACGACTCACGTTCCTGACAGCCGGCGACCATAGTTGTGGAAACCCCTATGACGATAATGAGCGCTTCACACCTAGGATTGTCAGCGCCGTTCAGCATCGCCAGACGACAGGGCGACTTCTCGGACGACTTGAACTCACGACTGCGCAATGCCATCAGTTGTTGCAGACTGAACCGAGATGGCACTACATACCTTGGTTCCAAGAGGCGGCCGTAGATCGCCAAAAGCTGCGGAGAAACCAGAAATTGAGGCGCACCGACGGTAGCTGGGGTCAATGGTTACACACTAAATACAATGACTATTGTGGATGCCTCCATGAGATATGTGCTCAGGACAACGAGTATCGGAAGGGAGGACCGTTTTTGCTGCCAAAAGACTCTGATTTCCGCTCCAATGCATAGTGCGTGATCATATAAGGAGCAAGTGATGGCGGCACCTAGTCGAAGAGGATTCTCAGAACAACTGCTTTGAGTGCAGATCGTGGTAGTTGGCCACTGCTAACCTGATAGGTATCGAGTCGCGAGTACATAGTCATATACCGCACGAATTACTTGCGTCGACATTTGCTTCCGAAGTGTTGAACCGGGAGACAGTACTCTGTCGCCTACCCGATGTCGCGGTACTACGGGCACGGTATGCAACCTCTCCTAGAGTAGGACAGAACGGACAGCGCGGTCAGCCGCGGGATAGCACGAGTATTTAACACGTTATGCCAACAAGGGGCTGTTCACCGGATGGATTTGGTAGACCTGACACAGCATCACTTGTTCGCTGTACGACTGCGACTCGCTCACGAGTACCACATCATGGAGCCCGCAAGTACCTGCCGAAGACGTATGATCCGTCGGTACTTTAGCTGGAAAGACTAACAATGCAACTCACATTTTCTAGCTGATGCCTGAGTTCGACGGTTCAGATGTTCAATGGACAGATAATCATCGTAATCAGTGAGTTGGACATAACTCTCACAATATTGGCAACGACCGCACCACGAACGATGACAGATCCGGCGCTCTACTCTAGATGCATTCTGGCCACGGATCTCCTTATTCGAAGCCGAGGCGCGCCAGAGCTCATTTTAGCAGCTGGACTAGTCCCCGCCCACGCAAGGCTTTGATGACAAGCGACAAAGGCTCGGAGCAGAAGTTGAACGTTGAACGTTGAAGCCTGAGCTTATGACTTTGACGTCGGCCTGAGGCTGCAGGTTTGTATTAGTTGTGATGACCTTGTGCATGTGTCACGGTTACGATGGATTGGATGAGCGAGGATTCATAGAACATATGCATCACTTCAGAGTGTTGAAGCTTTGATGTTTCATTGTTCGATATGTACGCTCGAGTGGAGGGAGCTTGGGAGGGAAATCCAGTGGCGTCGAACAGAATCTTGCCGCCGGCGCCCACGCCGAGCCTCGACAAGTCCGCCACGGCGTCCTCCTACGCACATTGCCACGATCTACTAGGACAGTGATTCATTCGCCAGTGCTTCTGAGACGGAGGACATCGCCACTGACTCGTACGTTTGCACAGGAACGGCGCGTGCAATTTTGCAGATACAATGGATATTGATGCGCGATACTCTAGAATCTCAGGCTCAGGCTGCCCTCCTTTGACTGGGGACCACACGCTGCCAGATACCGTTGTTCATATGAATACGGCGCGTAAGGTGCTGTGTATATCTTCCCCGCCGACATTCATGGATTAGTAAGCACGTATTGACTGCCTGTCAATTCATAATATCGTGATCTTTGGATCTCAGGCCGAGGCTGTACCAGGTGTCAAGGTAGTGTGCTGCTCAAGCTACTCAAGCTCAAGTCTCAGGCGCATGCTGACCATCTGCGTCGGGATGATTGGACCATTATTCGACCGTAACGATGATTCTTGCGGGCGTGTAGCGTTTGGATCTTGAACTTTGTAACTGTACTGATATATCATCCCTGCCACCGCCTCGGTACGAAACCCGGAACCGTATCTCAGCTTATGATGCACCACTGGCAGTAAGATGGTTTCGAAAAACCCTGAGCTTGTCCCGACCTCAGAACTCGCGACGATTCACCTCCATGCCCTCTTCACAGACGCTATACACATCGGTTCAAAACGGTCGCAAACGCTGAACGTTGACTCGGACGTTTGACCTGAGACAGATTACGGTGGGCCCGGGCTATTCACGGAGCCATTCGTCAATTTAGGTTAACGCTGATTGTGGTACGACATGCAGGCGGCAGCCCAGACGCGCGATAGCGTATGCGTACCTGTGCTTAGCCCTCCCAGGCAGACGCAGACGATTCCTTAAACCTTCATGCCTCAGGATGTCCTTGTCTGATCCTGTGCTGGGACGCGGTTCCTTTGGGGCAACAGGTGAGTGAGCCTCATTGATCGCTGGTTGAACCATGCCTGGGAGACTGCATGCTAGCAGAATGAAGCACCCTTCGATCACATGGAAGGTCTCTCCCAAACATCATTCTGTACCGCGCCTTGCTGAATTGTTGGACACGCTGTTATATAACTAAGATCTGATTCAGCCTGTGACGAGCTGAACTCCGTCTTCCCAGTGATTAATTATTACAATATGCCGGTCGGAGGACAGCCTCTGGCAGATAATAAGGATAAGTATGCTACCATGATACGTGCAAGATGTCGAGCATCATATGTATATCATCTCGACCTCTTCTGACACGAGGACCGTTTGTGGTCCACACCCGGGCCTCCAACTACGAGGCGCACGCAGCTCTGCTTTCTGTATCTTGAGGAAGAGTCTGTACATCAGCCTCGTATCGAACGCCCATGTGATGCTGTGTACAACGTTAGCACGTCAGACCCGCAAGACGAGTCAGATTCGGGTTCGTACACAGGCATGAGAAATGTTCCTGAAGCCTAGAACGAATGAGCCCTCAGGCCTCAGAAAGGAAGCCCGGACTATGTGGGTACGTACACCGACGAAGATACTTGGGAGAAGTTTGGCCATGCGAAGTACTAAGGGTAATCGGGTTACTGCTGTCGCCGAAGGCATCGACGAAGCGTCCACATACCAAATAGCCCCTGAGGTGCAAAGAGAGGTCAACGGCCGATAGACATGGCAAGGCGGAGTTCACGAACCAGGAATGTCACCACGCCGTCGCGCTTGAGACGACTCACGATCTCGACATTCTTCTTGCGTGGTCGATTGAGGGCATTTAACACCGTCAGGACGAAGACATATACATCGTATGCCACCTGAACGATATCAGCAAACCTCTTCAGTCGCCGTTCTGGAGTGTGCCACACTCACCATCCCTGCCCAAGCACCAGACAAAAAGGTGGGCTTTTCCGGAACAACACAAGACTTTAGCTCCGAATTGTATTGCATCTTGCCTGTGGAAGGCTCAGAAGCAATCGGCATAGCGTCCACGGATTCGCTCACCCGAGAGTTGAATCATAGTGACCAGAGTGAATGCTACGGACGCTCCATAACATACGATGAACCCGGCGATGAGCGCATATTTCGCTTGTTTCCTGCTATCCCATAGCGCATATACATGCAGTAAAAGCGCGACTGGCCAAACATTCAATGCGCCTATATCACACATGCTCTGGCGACTCACATTCCTGGCAGCCACTGCTCAGAGTTGAAAAGGTTCCTATAAAGATGACGAAGGCCTCGCATCTGTCTCGATGAGTGACATCCTGTGATCTCAGGATACCTTTGGTCAACTCACGTCTGCCATGCCAAGGTGTTAGCCGTTGTAAGAATGAGACGGAAGAAATACGCACCTTTGAATCCAGGGCAGGGCGTAGATCTCCGAAGGCTTGAGGTGTGATGATGATCGGTAGGTACGCCAGCAGTGAGTTGGCAGAACGCTGAACGTACCGTAGGCAATAATTATAAGGCTGGCTTCCATCAAGTACGTGTTCAGCATGACAATGATCTGAAGGCGAGACCACTGCTGGCGCCAGACCAATTCAATTTCTCTTGCAGCGTTGATTGCGTGGTCATACAAGGAGCAGCTGAGAGCCGCAGCTAGAGAACTACGTGTTAGCGCACTATGCGAGAGTAGCCAAGATTGTGTCCACTGCGTACCTGACAGGTATCGGGTGGCTACCACATACTGCTCGGCACTCAGAAGCACGGACGACATGGGCAAGAATGTCTAGTTGAGCAACCTAGCGGCCTCTATCTGGCAGGAAGTGCGCTTCGGAATCTGACGACTCAGCTGGACTGTCCACAGACGTAGCACGGCGAGAAGACTTCGTTGGGAAGAATGATACGTATACTTATCCAGTGGCAGGTGCCACAGCTCGTACACATGCCAGTGCACACAATCAACATCGTATACACTGAGACTGTCATGGCCGCCATGGATCCGGAGAGCTGTCCAACCATTTGCAATGAGTCCCGGGTTGACCGTGTAGTACAATCGACTGCGGCTCTGCATTGGCAGCCTGCATGAGCTCATGTTGCTGATTCAATTGAAACGTCAGTGGCATTTGGAACATACCATCATGCCACTAGCAGTACTGAGTCGATGATATCCCGGACTCCGTGTCAAGTGCGTCGTCCGAGGAGGCTTGCAGGAGGTCTAGCGCGCGCCACCGGGGCACAGCATGTCTTAAGCGCGCGTGTCGGCCATTCGCTCGAACGTCGACGTCGACGTCGGTGACCAAACGTCGACGCCCGACACTGGACCTGGTTAAACTGAAACGTTTTCAACATTCAGAAACCATCTTCGTAGCTGAGGGCCTTTGCTCCACTTCAAATGCGATCACTGCAGGCTGTACTGCTGATGATCTTTATAGTGCGCGCGTGCAGTCGGATGCAGTGAAGTCCGAACTTCAAGCAAAGTTGGCCAGTGACTGTGCGTACCTTGCAACGTTCGAGGGTCCAAGTGGTCTGCAGCTAACTTCGTGCCCTTTCGCGGCTCCTAACAGGCAGGTCGACAGCTGGTCACCGGTCATCTTCCGAGCTTCCGTGAATGATACAGCGGCGCTGACGGTCTTCTCAATCACATCAGTCATCCATTGTGGCCTGTGCCTCACCGATAGAAGCACAGGCGCAGTGTCACAACGTTTCAGTACTGATTCTAGTATGCAGCTATCTCCGAAGGAGTGCCCTGCACACCCGGGCGCGATGCAACCACACACATCATCTACTTCCCAGAATAGACTTTGATGCACGATGCTTGACAGGCCGAGGCATTCCCCTTGCGGTGCTTGTCTCTTTCCCGTGAACGGTCCTCGCTGAAGGTCCTCTGCTAGGCGCAACGATGGGCACCGTCTTCAGCCTATACCAGCAGTCATTCCCTCCCAAGCCACGGTGGTTGGTAAAGGATATTCCGGACCAAACAGGAAAGGTTGTCCTCATCACAGGAGGCAACACGGGACTAGGTATGGCTTCGTCCCTCAGCCTCAAGTCGTCGCATGACTGACCGAGCGCAGGGCTCGAGACGGCAAAAGTATATCTTCACGATCATACTTACACCCTCTAAGTGCGCTAACCGTTTGCAGGCCCTCATCGCAAAGAACGCGAAGGTCTACATCACGAGCCGGGATGAACAGCGTGGGTCGGACGCGATAGATGAGCTGAAGCGGACGTCAAACAATGCGGAGGTGTTTTTGATTCAGTGTGATCTCTCTGACCTTCGGTCAGTCAAGGCGGCGGCGGAGAACTTCCTCAGGTGAGCTCATCCGTCGTGCATCCGTGCGCCTAGATCGATGGAGCTTGACTGCGGCACATGTACAGCAAAGAGACGCAGCTCCACATACTGTTCAACAATGCGTCAGTCCGGCTGTTCGAACTCGGGTGCAATCGCTGACTCGGATCCAGCGGTATCATGTTTCCCCCGATGAGCGAATTGACGAAGCAAGGACAAGACCTGCAATTCGGGGTGAACGTGATCGGCCACTACTACCTCACCAAACTGCTCCTGCCAGCCATGCTCGCGACGGTGTCCAATGAGACAGGCGGCAAGGCGCGCGTCGTGAATACGAGCTCGTCAGCAATGCTGCTGGCGCCCTCTGGAGGTATCAACTACGACACGCTCGTCGATGGACCCGCGCGACGGAAGTTCGATAACGTCAAGCTGTATCAACAGGCCAAGGCGGTACGCCCCGAGACTTCAGTTGTTTGATTCCGCAGTGATGAAGTGCCCTGTGCGTAGGGCACTGTGATATTCTCTACCGAACTCGCGAGACGTTACGGCGACCGTGGAATCGTGTCGATATCGTTGAATCCTGGTGCGTATATTCCTCGATATCATCCCCACGCACCCTTCATGAGAAGTGAATCTCATCAGGTAATATCCGCACTGGTATCCAACGTTACGTCGTCGGCCTGCAGGCGAAGATTCTGGTAGGATGTAGAGCATATGGCGAAGTAGCACACTGATCGCTCCGTTCGTAGGACTTCGTCCTCTATGACAAGGCGGTCGGAGTGCTCACACAGCTCTTCGCCGGAACAGCCCCGGAGGCCGAAGACTTGAACGGAAAGGTACGTAGTCATTCACATTTCAAACAGACGAGTGTTAGAGATCGTCGCGCAGTATCTCATCCCATTCGCGCGGGTCGGTTCAGCGCGGAAGGATTTGTTGGATGCGTCCGCTGGGGTGAAGCTATGGGACTGGCTCGAGGCACAGACACAGGGAGTATGATACGATGGGTGCGTGCAAGTGGTGTTTAAGCTTGTATGTGTTTCGCAGAGATGTCGGATCTTTGACGAGTATTACCTCCAATGAACGCTGAGGCGATTGTCGTGACAGTACAATAAAAGATCTGAACGTGAAAAACAAACTTAACATATCCTCTACTAAACCACCCTCTCGCGGACTTCCAACATGAAAGGACCGTCCATGAATGGCGCGAATGCATCCACGGATTTCCTCACCCCGGGGTGAACAGGAATGAAATCGAAGTCACAGATCAGTCCTGCAAAGATGGCTGTGAACTCGTATGTCGAGAGTTGCATAGCGGGGCTGAATTTGGATCAAGCGTAAGTGTTCTGTCGCGACTCCAGTATGGGTTGACGCACCATGCCCTCGGCCCGCTTCCGAAGCTGTGGAAGCGGGGAGTGTCAGGTTTCAGGAAGTGACCGTCATCGCTAAGATGGCGACGCGGATTGAACTCCTTCGCATCGGGGCCCCATATCTATTTTGCCGAACGGTCAGTGAAGCGAAAACCGAACAGGTTGCTAGAAAGACCGACATCCTCATTACGCATCATCGCCATGTCTGACCAAAGCAGGAAGTCGCCCTTGTTCACCTTCACCGCAGGTAAGCCCTTCTCGGGGATCGCAGGCAGTACGTCGTCTTCTGTAGCGACACGCGCATTCTTGGGCAAGCCGGGCCAAAGGCGGAGCGTCTCGAAAAAAACGGCCAGGTGGACTGGGTAGTTCTGAACGTCTGCTTCAGTCGTCATTGTGATGAAACACATTACAAAGACGGACCTGCAGCTCGCCGAATGTCATGATGCCATCTGCACCTTTAGGTGGCCGCGAAGCCAGTTCTTCCCTCATGAGGGTAATCCAGCCCGGACTGCGTGTCAGTTCGTACAGCGCCCACAGAATGGCGTTCTGCGTGCTGTCTCGTCCGGCGAAGAATAAGGTCATCAGCGTGTCGCGTGTCGAAGATAGGTCTTGCTCTCCCGTGCTTGCCAGCAATGCGGTGAGGTAATCGGTACTCTCTTCCGCATTGAAGCCTCCGGAACTAGAGTGGTCGCGGATGAGGTCGTCCACGATGGCGGATAATCGAGCCTTTGCTGCGTTGAAGCGATTCCGCGTACCGTCAAACTATCTCTAAAGATGAGCCTCGTCATCCTGAAGGGGTAAGGCAACGCACCCGTTCGGTCAATCTCCATGCCGGGTTGAATAATCGGCTGAAGAAAGATCAGCGGTGACACAGCTGGTTTGAGCAAACGACTGACTCGGCTGTGATCACGCTCAGAGTGCTGAGCGTGTCCGACAGGACGTTGGTCTGCTTCAAACATGAGAGCTCGGTGGTGAGCATGTCTGTTGGCATATCGAACGCCATCTTGCAGAAGATACTCAAAGCCAGTCGTCCGGAGAGATCTTCGTATCGTGCGGTATTTAATGGACTGTATGCGGTCAATATCGACCCAGAAGCGCACCCTTCCAATCAATCGCCACATTCTGGAGGCTTGCCGTTCTCAATAAACTTCTGACCGTCGGAACTATCTAATCCATGCGATGAACTGAGAGGCGAATGAGGTTAAGGCGCGAATACCCTCGTACCTCGCACATAGCCTTCGAAGCGTGAGTGTTGACTGCTTTTGCGCCAAATATGGGTCTGGAAGAAAGGTACACATCAGCCGAAGTCGACGTCGCGACTGAACATTCGAGCTGACGATGGACTTGAGAGAGTACGACACTCACTGCATTATTCTGCGGGCATACTTCCAGGCTGGCCCATCGGTGGATATGGGCGTAGTTGATCCAGGAAATTGACTGAACACGTCTCGCACAACCTCGCCCTTAGCGTATATGGTAGTGTCGCCTAGCATTATTGAGACGCAGCAAAACACAGAATAGCTGAGCAGACATACCCTTCCTCATGTGCTCCAGCCATTCCGGCCTATTGATGACGATGTTGCGGCCCCAGTTCGGGAGCGTGAACGTAAACAGTGGGCCGTACGTCGCTTCCATGTTGTCCAAGAACCTGAGCATGCCATTGCGATTCTGAAAGACGAGTAGCATGTTCCCCAACAGTGGCAAGCCTCGCGGGCCTGGCAGGTCGGGTCTGTCCACAGTGCCAATGCATCTGTTAGGATAGTTGTATGCGAGGAGAGCAACAACCGCCAACAGCGCCGCGAGACACGCAGAGAGGTCGAGCAGAGAGATCATTGTTCACAACTGTGTGCTCCCTGGGGAGTGGGGGGAGGACGCGTACGACGAATTCGCACTGCGCAGGGGAAGTACTAGGAAATGTGATTTGACCCCGTCAGTGCATCAGCGCAGGTGCCTGCCGTCGACATGCGGTTGAACGCTGTCGTAGTACACAAGCGCACCCGCGAGTTAGCGTTCACTAAAACCGACGGAGTGGTAAGTTACATCATTTGTTATTCATATTATCGAAGACGTTGACGAACCATAATTGACGGCCCGCGGCTGTATTAGGTTTGACATGCCACATATTCAATTATCACGCGGCGAAGCACTTGGAACCGCACAGATGTGCATCCGGGCAGGGGATATGGCCTGCCTCCGACGGCGTGTGCTCGGAGTCATCAACGTATCATTGTTGTGACACTTGTGAAACATGAACATAATCACACTCCATATCATCACGATTCTGCGTTCAGACAACAGCTTCCCTGTCCATGGCGGCCGAGATACAATATATCATCTGCGGTTAGGAAGGTAAAGTTATATATGTAGTCAACACGAAGGATGCCTCAACTCACTACGATCGGTCTCTCTACTAGTAGTTCCTACACGAGATGCAGCACACTGTCTGAGGTGATGTCCTATACGCTGGCGTGATGCTGCACTAGGAACGGGAACCCCTGGGCAAAACAGAGCCAGAGCTACGAACAAGGTGTCAGTTCCTCATCTCCGTCGTAACGTAACACATGCACGCACGTTGTAGATAATGTAAGACCGGCGGTCGGCGGCCGGCGAGCGCAAGAAATGGAACCGCCACCCAAGATAGCTCGCAAGCCCGGTCAGCACAATGGCTTGCAGGGCTGTGGCGCCCCATATCACGCAGATTGCTATGGACCATGCGGGAAGGGCGACGGCCATCGAGACGCGGCTCGCGTACGGGTAAACGATAGGCAGAGTCTTGCGTTTGCTCAACCGGTCTCCAGCTATGTCCTCGAAGTCCTGCGCGTGTATCGTGGTCAGGACGATGAGCGCCGCATTGACGTGCGTAGCGACAGTTGTAGAACCGAGGTGGCATGTGCGAGGTCCTTGAATTCGCTTGAGTATGAATTGAGGAAAGCCAAAGCAGACTCACCACACGCAACATACGTTGCCCCGGCATTGAATGCGGCATATCCCAAGGCACAGCACAAATTACGCGTTATCCAGTGTGAATCCAGTGCGAGTTCGTTGTTCACCCAAATCCCAAGCGCGAGCGCGAGACCGGGGTATCCGACATGATATCCCAACGATATCGCAAGACAGAGGGGAAGCAGTGCCCAACGCAATTTCCGTGCAGCGAGAAGCGAAACACGATGAGCGGGGATCGGCCTCCACGGCTTGTTCCTCACATCCTCCTCGACACTGTCCGGCAAACTTTGGTTGGACACGCAAAATTGCAGTAGGTTAAGCCACACCCAGGCGATGGTGTGCAGTAGGCGAGCGAATCCTGTACTTGGCGCGGAGAGGCAGCCAAAAACCGTCTGTACGAATTTCAGTCAGAGCAGGCTACCTGAATAGATACTGATGAGTCAAACTCACAATTGGTATCAATATGGTCTTGATGTCTGATTTGGTGAAGAGGAAGAGATTCTCTACGAACGCGAAAGGTTCGAAGGCCATGTCGTCAGATCAGTATGGGCTCCGATGGTCAGTCCCGGCTGCAGGTCTGGCCGCCTTAACAAACGCAGGGTTGGCGCGTGTAAAACGGTCCCGTCGGAGCTCCTCTGATATGGTTGCGAACCAGTGAGATGTGAGACGTGCCGCACCAGTAACCAGATGTAAGAATGGACAAGCAACTGAGACGTCCTGTCACGAACGAGCCTGAAGCACTTTACCTGCTTGGTCCACTGTCGGGCGGGTCGGAGATGAGGCTGACGAAGCCTATCCACCGTCGAGAGAAGCTGGCATATGCTCACTTGTTCATGCATGCGGTACGCTGCCGTTCGGCCACAAGCTTCAAGACGGCGTGGGTTGCGACTGCTACCGCCATCCTTCGGTGCGAATGTCTGCCACTAGGCTACCGAGGTAACACTGTCGAATTGCCCACTACTCGCTGACATAGTACGTGGGCTTGTAGACGCACCCACTCCGAGGGCCTGAGGCTCTATGTCTCGGACTGACAACTCGTCTATACCAATCCAAGCATCGCACCAGCCACTATCACGGTGTTCCTGGGTTGACATGCTGTAATTAGATTGGCACAATCGTTGCTGGCGCCCGCGCCGACTCGTATCTCTTGCCATTGCGTGCGGTGGTAGCCTGAGACTTGAACTTCTGACGGATGAGCGCGTACTGAGCAAACCTAAAGATCGCTCACGATTGGTATCCGGGCGCGTGCCTGCAGCTGTCACAGATACAGCCATGTGCGTGTAGGACGCCGCAGAACAGACTTGAAATAGACCTTCATCGACATCGCGCGTCGAGTCTCGACGAAGAGCGACGTCGCAGGGAGTCTGAGGGACGTCGACTCGGACACCAAACGACACCGACTCGGATAAAATCGGAGCGCGACTCGCTACATACCCATCAATGGAAACTGGTGATTTTTTTTTTTTTTTTTTTTTGGAGGGCTGTGACGGTCTTAGGCACCGACCAATTGGGTCGGCCCAGTCAACCAGCCGGCAAGCGGGTTCCCCCGCTGTGCTATCCAGGGCGAAATGCGGTTTACGCACGGCCGGTCAAGGCCAGTGTGGGGCTCGTTTACCCGGGATCCCAAAGGGGAATTCCCGTTGCAATACCCACTAAAACCCGAGAGTTTATCCAGTCATCTGTTAG